TGAAGATGGTATTGAAAGTATCGAAGAGTTAATTAAGAAAATAAGTGAAGTGTTAAGAAATACGGCAGAAGAAGTAATTGGCAAAAAGAAAACTATAAATAGTAAAAAAGCAGTTCCGTGGTGGAATAACGAGTGTAGTAAGGCAATTAGGGAAAGAAATAAAGCGATGAAGAAAGCCAGAAAATCTGTATTGTTCAGTGAGTACATTAACTTTAAGATCACACTGGCAAAAGTGAGGAGGGAAGTAAAAAAAAAAAAGCAAAAGGAAATTACTGGAGAGAATTCTGTAATAGAATTGGGGAAGAAATTGAAATGAATGAAGTTTGGAATATGATTAGGAAGATGGGAGGGATTCAGAGAAATAACAATATTCCAGTTTTAGTAAATAATGGAAAAATAGCAATAAAAGACAGTGACAAAGCAGAGATGTTAGTGGAAGCATTCGTAAAGGTGCACAGTAAAGGTACTATTTCAGATAATATGAGGAGATATAGGGAACAGAAAGTTAGGGAGAATGCTCACATTTATGTAAAGAAGAATCCATCAGGAAGTATGTTAGACTCAGAATTAACTTTGTATGAGTTAAAAAGAGCACTTGCAGGGGTCAAACATACTTCTCCAGGCAAGGATGACATAGGCTATGAGATGATAAAGCACTTATCAGAATTATCATTAAGTATGATTTTAAGACTTTTTAACAAAATATGGGAGACAGGGAATCTGCCAGAAGATTGGAAGCATGGGGTCATAGTGCCAATAGCCAAACCAGGAAAAGACAATTCTCAGCCAATTAATTATAGACCTGTTGCGCTGACATCAAATTTATGCAAACTTATGGAATGGATGATTATGAACAGGACTTATGTGATTGAAAGTAGAAACATATTTTCAGCATGTCAAAGTGGATTTAGAAAAGGGAGAAATACGATGGATTCAATATTGTGTTTGGAAGCTGAAATTCGAAAAGCTCAAATTAATAAAGAGGTGCTTGTGGGAGTCTTTTTTGATGTAGAAAAAGCTTACGATATGTTGTGGAAAGAGGGGCTTTTAATGAAATTGGAAAGCTTGAGAATTGATGGAAAAATGTATAACTGGATTCTGAGTTTCTTGTTTGGAAGAACAATTCAAGTAAGAGTAGGGACTGCTTTTTCTCAGATTCTCCCAATTGAGAATGGAACTCCCCAGGGAAGTGTGAGCAGTCCTATTCTTTTTAATTTAATGATAAATGACATCTTTCATAACGTTGATACTGGAATAGGAAGATCATTGTATGCGGATGATGGAGCACTATGGAAAAGGGGGCGCAATGTTTTATTTGTAGAAAATAAAATGCAAAAAGCAGTGAATGAGGTGGAGAATTGGGCAAATTGTAGGGGTTTTCGGTTTTCTGTGGCAAAAACACAAGTAATATGCTTTTCGAAAAA